GTCATCATCAGCCTATAAGTGCTGACTCTGACGTCTTCTCCTCACACGGAGAAGGCGTATTCGCGTCAAACTAATAATTAGGAATTCTAGGTTATAAGTAATACATATAATATAAGTATAGGTTACTTCAAGATCTTTTCCTTCAGCGTTTGTCAGTGGTGTCTAAATTAACTTAGAAAGTACATATGACTCGAAAAAAGTCACATTGGTTGCCACTTTTTGAACTCGACTCGCATGAGAAGCGGGCGCCTTAATCACCGGGCCACCTCGACACAACACATGTGCACATGCATAAATCTTAAACTTAATATCAGTAATATTATCAGCCGGGGTTGCGGGGTAAGCGCAATGAGGCACGGCGACCTCGGCCCAGAACAGGAGAAGGAACAGGGGGGTTTTTACTCAGTAAGAGTCTGACACTCCCTCCCGCCCGGCCCTGGGCGGGAGAAGTAATTTGATGATTTTCCCCTCACAAAAAAAATATCAGTAATATTTTTTTTTATTTCAGTTCAAATATTATAACATCACCATTTCATTTATTATTGTGGATATAACCGTTTTCATGGCATGTCATGTTCTGGACAGCTTTCTGACTTTTTGTATGATGAAAATTCGGAAAACATTAAACACTAACGTGAACTATTATTCCAAATAACATTTATTCAACAAAAAATCTTTTTAGTAAATAATAATATAATAAATAATTTACAATTTTAAAATTAGAATGGGTAAACAAAACAGACTAACCTCTGTTTATTTCTTCGAGTTTACAAAGGGAATAATGAAGAATGAGGTTACATTTTAATTGAGAAAAGTCAACGCTAGCTTATCTTTCTTTGCGTGATATTTTCAAAAGATACAGAGACTAACCCTTAGTAATAATTCATGCGGTTGCCGTGGTCATTAGGGATGTAACAGACATAATTACTAACAGGGGTGCAGTTTAGAAATGAATGGGAAGAAAAATGGCGCTAACTGGAGTTTAGAAAGAAAGCGTACGTGCAAACTGCGTTTAGTATATCTTGAGTTTAACTTTTATAGTTTGATTTATATTTTCGTTTGTATTATTACCTGATTTTTGTGTGCTGTTTGTCTGACGAAGACTATAATGATTAGGGCTCTCTTAAGAGTTGAATGAGAGATTAAAATAATAAAGTGAATTCATCATCAACTTTTGGCCTTTATCTATCTACCAATGACATCGTATTGCATGTATTGTGATACAGGTGAACTCAGATGTAAACATACGAAAACCTTGAAAACCTAACAATATTTAGTAGCTAATCTCGAATTACTATACAGTTGCCCTACTTACACACACTAACAAAACATGATGACGCGATACGTTCAGGAATTCGACGAAAAAACTAACAACTAAAACTTACTATTCCTGCCACCCCTAATTCCTTGATGTCAGACTATTTTTCACTTTGCCAATTTGTCGTAACACTACAAAATTGTCCGGCGTTTCCCTGTCGCCAAATACACTCGCAGTCTTGTTGGAGAACAAAAGTGTTTCAAGCACTTTTTGCTGATGTTTGTACCAAACACGTTAGGTCGTTAAGGTAAGGTTGTTTTTCGACAAATTGCCCGCAGGTCCGTAGTGAAATATGCGGTCCATTCAGCCTTCTGAATAAACTATATACATAGCAACGGCAACGGGATAAATAAGAAAACATTTTTGCTTATATTTATGGTGGTAAAAAATATTATTGTAATAAAAGATTTTCGTATTTACATTGCGGAGCGTGGTGGTTAAATGTACCTGTATAGGTACAATATAATTTGAGAATGATATTTTTTCTAGACATTAATATACCTAAAGATTTAGTAGACGAGAATCTTACTTAATTATTTATAAAGAGACGGACATCTGAGTTTATTTCGGCATTTCTTCTCAGAGTAGTCAGATAGGATATGCTTTTTTATATAAAATTTTGACGTGTAAAGTGTTTTATGGCCTATTTACAAAAATATTCAGGGTCAAATAAGACCCTGATGTGCATAGCAGTTTTCTGATGTATTTATAGTTCAACTAATTAATAATACACTCATTGTTACCTATTAGTTAATAGCTAGATTTGATATTACACTTAAAAAAATGTAGCGTAAAGAACAAAGTTGACCTACTTTTAATTATACTCCTGATAAGTTATAATATAGTAAGTAGGTATGGATGGATATTTTTTGCACACTCACTGTACACAGTACCAGTTTGTTTGGTCGATAATTTCTTATCTCCATAATATTTGTGGTTGTATAATATTGTGCAATGCTTTATAATAACAAAACTTGCATAGTAATGTTACGTCATTTTTTTCATACGAAAATACAAATTGTGTCTCATGGCATACCAAAAGAAAGTCAATTAGAAATCTACACAAAAATTTAAATATTTTAGATTTTTTTTACATTCGTTGAAATTGCAATCCTCCTTAAACAAGCATGGTGCTTACATAATGTTAATTATAAACCTATAATTACGCTCCTCTGAATCAACCATGTTGTTATTAAACCCGTCTTCGAATATTTTTATGAAGAACAACTGTAAAATTAATAAATAAAATATTGTAATAAGTTGATAACATGCTCTGATAAAATCTATTACAATAAACACAGATATAACAATGAAGACACACACAAAGAACTAATATTTTTAGCCTAAAACCTTGACCTATTTCGAAAATGAGTTCCATAAACAAATACTTGAACAATAGATTGGACAGTCTCCCAAGTTTTGTTACGACTTAAACCTTATTCTCATTTCCTGACATATAAGATGGACGCTTGCTTATGTGTATCGAAATTGAAGATTTAAAATATTACTCATAATCAGCCTATAATTGCCCACTGCTGAGCAAAGGCCTCTTCTCATACGGAGAAGGTAAAATACTTCTTCTGTTAAGTAATTGAAGTGTGGGAGAGCCATGCTTCGGCACGAATAGGTCGGCTAGACCAGGGCGATACCACGGCTTCACAGAAAACTGGCGTGAAACAACCACAGCGTTGTGTTTCGCCATGTGAATGAGGTTACCGGAGACCAAATCCTTTTCCTCCCACATCCCTAAATCCCCAAAAGGTCGGCAACGCACTCGTAATTCCTACGTTGTTGCCTATGGTAATCCGTCTGCTCGTTTGCCGTTTGATCACATGCTTAACCTGCGTTATCAGTATAAATATGGAAACCTGTGAGTTATTCAGATTTATAGTCTAACTCCTTGCCATATTTAGTATCTAGTCATTAGAGGATTTTTTCCCTATAAGTAGTAGATTCTTTGGTACTGAAAGCAAGCAAGAAGGAATGTTGTGATGCCCTTCTAAATAATAGATAAGTCTGGAGTATAATTCTCGAAGTACTAACAATATTGCCGGCCACAATAAAACGGTAATCGCCACTAACTTTATACGGGAATCCATTAGTCATTATTATGTCATAATACTCCAGAAATTGTTATTGTTCTTTTATCTCTCCTTCTATAAAAACTTTGTAGTGTGTTTGTCTGTTCAGTTGTAGCATTTAGAAATGTACATTTTTATAATCCAATTAAAATCGCCTAATTTTATTAAGTTTTCTTTAATATATGTAACAAGGACGGCAAGCGAGGAGACTGATTACCTGATGGTAAGCAATTAGCGCCGCACATGGACACCCACAACAACAGAGGAGTTATGAGTGCGTCACCAACCTTTTGGGGATTAGGGATTTGGAAATTTTTTGATTGGGGGAGGGGACGGATTGGGGTTCCGGTAACTTCAGTCACACGGTGAAATACAGCGCTGTGGGTATTTCACGCCGGCTTTCTGTGAGGCCGTGATATCACTCCGGTCGAGACTACCAATTTGAGCTGAAGCTCTCCCACACTTACTTTTTCTTGTCCACATAAATAATTGTGGAGCTTGTTATCATTGAGCATGTGTAAAATATTACTAAAATACGTATTTTTTTGTTTCGACTGTTTAAATCCATTATTTGTACACTGGAAACCAATAATAATTATTGATTTATACAAATAACGTTATAAATCTCTCAATAAATGTGAATATAAGTATTTTCTGTTAATTCTTTTGTTACTTAAAATGTGTGTATTTATTTAAGGTTATGTATTTATTAGAAGAAACTAATAATTCATGCTTTTCTCAGAACAGCTGGTGCGTGACCTCACCACCGCAAGTTCCCTCTTTCATAATATGAAAATTAATTAACATAAGGAAAAACAAACAAAGAATATTGCGTTGGTCGAGTGTTTGCAAGTTTGTCTGCCGAGCAGAGTTTCGTATTGTGAATCCAGAAAAATATTATTTTGGAATTGACCAGTATTATCATCATCATTATCAACCTTATTTCGTCCACTGCTGGACATAGGCCTCCCCAAATCCACGCCACTGAACTCGATATTCAGCTCTTCTCATCCAACCACTGCCTCCAGTATGTATGTATGATTAAAATTAGCGTTTATTACAAAGAAAACAAGAAAATAGTTGTATCCTTAATACTGTGTTAGTCAATGATTTTGACAAAAAACAATGACCAAGCATAGTCACGGCTACGTCCTAACTTTCATACCTATAACACAATTGTTACGAGAAAATAAAAATTATTGCGAAATTCATTTTATATGATGTCTCCTTTATAAGTCTTGTGAGATCAATTTCCTAACTGTCTTCGAAATTACTGAGGTATTTTGTTTAGCTGCTGTTGTCAGATTAATGTGAAGAAACTAGTTTTAGTGGTTTTTAGTGGACAATATTTTTTGTTACTTGTTCTTTTGTGTTATTGATGTCATATATTTGGGGTAAATTATGTAACAATGGTTTAATGATCAGAGGTCACCTAAGGCATATATCAGTTTGACCAGGGAACAACGAACATTCGGTGGACTAAGAAAACAATTATTACGTTCACGATGAATCGTAGCAGACTCAGACACACATAGTGATAACTTATCTGTACAGATTCGGCAGATCACACTATAAATATATAAAACAAGCGTAGTTTATAATAGTATCATTACAACACCGACAGTGAAGAGAGAATCATGAGTCTTCAAGACAAAGTAGCTATTGTTACTGGCAGCAGCTCTGGCATAGGAGCTGCTATCGCCATCAAGTTCGCCGAAGAAGGAGCTAAAGTCACCATCGTGGGAAGGAATAAAGAAAAACTCAACAACGTAGCAAAGAAATTAGGAGACCATCTGGTAGTGACTGCTGACGTCACCAAAGAAGAAGATTCTCAAAGAATTGTTAAAGAAACTGTCAAAAAGTTTGGAAAACTTGATATTTTAGTGAACAATGCTGGTATAGCTACAATAGCAAAATTCGACGATGAGAATCTCATGACGGTGTTTGATCAAGTAATGAAGTTGAACATTCGCTCCGTAGTGTACTTGACACACATCGCTAGGCCTCACCTAGTCGAGACAAAAGGTAATGTCGTGAATGTCTCAGGCGTGGCTGGAATCAAACCATTTGCAAATGGATTTTTATCTCTCGCCGTGTCGAAGGCTGCACTTGATCATTTTACCAGATCAGTGGCTCTCGAACTTGCTCCAAACGGAATCCGTGTAAATGCTGTAAGTCCTGGACCGGTGTACTCAGACATTTTTGAAAATATGGGTGTGAAGAAGGAAGATGCGAGTGGGTTTTATGAAAACATGAGGCAGTCGACTGCATTGAAGAGAGTCTCTGATCCTGTGGAAATAGCAGATCTTGTTACGTTCTTGGCTAGTGACAAAGCTAAGGCTATTACAGGTACAATTTCCGTCTGTGATAATGGTTTACTATTGTAATGATAGATAAGTTTTAGAATTATTTTTCTTACTTCGCATGACTTTGTTTAATGATAAAATAAGTCAATGCCGTCTTTATTGTTTTTGTTACTGTAAAGGCATAGCTTAGGTTGCATAATACTGGTTTATAAGACTGTTATCAGTGTAGATACATTGACAGCAATAATATTATCTAAATTCGTAATCTGTTATCTGTTTGCAGTATTTCTTGCGACTATATTATTATTATGTAACATTTATTTATGAACTGTTGAAAGTTTATTGTTGTTTTAATTTAATATTATGGTTTCAATCGATCCCGACGATTGTATTTTGGAGAACCTCATATTATAATTTTAATTTAGTGTTCATATTTCTTGTTTTATTTTAACTTCAGAAGTTAATAACATTACTGTTAAAATTGGACGTGTCTAATATCCATCATATAAATAAGAGGGTACGTTCATCACTTTTCGTTTCATAGCTGTCACACCAACAGATCATGATATTTTTCACGAGGAAAAATTATATAAGCCGTTTGAAGGACATCAAAAATGTTTAAGACAATTTCTAAAAGGTTGTCTGTCAATTTTAATGATAAGGAGTCATGAGTGCTTTGAAAAAGGATTTTGATAAACAAATACAAAGGTATATTTCCTCTTACTTGGCTACCCACTAGACTGGTTAGTTAGTTACTAGTTACACTAGACTAGTTTCCACAACTTGAAGAGTTGTTCCTCTTTCTTAGTTATACATACCGTTTCTGTTTTTGGTTTCATACTAGTTAGGCTCGACAAATGTGATACTATCAATAAATTGTATGGGTAATCCAGCATTTTTTACAATGTTGTAGGTAATCGAAAGAAGAAATTGAATATTTTTTTAATGCGAAAACATATAATTGGAAATTATAAGTCCAGTTTTCCGTCATATTTTCCTCCACTGAATGCTTGCGGTGTTTAAATAATATAAAAAGTAGAAATAACTCGGAAAAAAATTATATTGTAATGCTTGGCAGGTTTTGAATTCACCTTCTAAGACTTGAATAATTATTATTATATTATATTCTTTCTTTTCATGGTTATAAGCTGGAAATACAATATGTCATGCTTATCATCGATGACAAACGCAAGTAGAGTTTTAGCTTCAACAGCTTCAACCGTTTTGAATCGACAGTCAAAGCGTTTATTTTAAATTTCGAATAATTTTATCCATTACAATTAGGTTTACTGAATCGAATTCAAACTCGAACTGTACAAAAGTATTCATTACACCAGTAATAGAATAGTATCAATGAAATCACTCGTCTGAATTAAACATTATAAATAGCAAATTAATATTATCCAAATCATAGTTAGGAATTAATAAATAAACAATCGAAATCACAGTTTCGGACATGGCCATCAAAAATTATTTTATACGGAAAATTCATATGGATAAACACGAAATTAACAATGTATTTGAAACATTTAAACGGTACGTAGATATTATAAATAGGTAATGATTTGTTTTTACCATCAGCTGAAAAGCTTTTTGTCAGTCGAAAATCATCCAATGACTTATTCCGCCAAGGAGTGTCAAGTGCGAGAGAGAGTGTCAGACTCTTACTGACTAAAAACCGCCTCCTGATCTGAGCCGAGGTTGCAGTGCCTCATTGTGCTTACCACGCAACCCCGCTTACCTCGCAACACTTCTTCTTATTTACGCACGTAGTGTAAATAAGAAGACGTGTGTCTCAAAGTCCTTACTATAATAATAATGAGTTCGAAAAAAAAATGAGTCTTTAATAAGTGCAATCGTTATAATAGACATAGTTATTGTTACTGGCAGTAACTCAGGGATTCGAGTCAAATTTGTCGAATAAGGTGACAAAGTGGCCATCGGGGGAAAATAATAAACTACGTTGTGTAGAAACTTGAAGACCATTCGATGTTAGCTGCAGATGATACCAAAGAAGAAAATGCTCAGAGAATCATAAATGAATAAGTAAAAAAACTTAGGGAACTTTACATTTTGGTGAACAATCTAAGTGTGGGAGAGCCATGCTTCGGCACGAGTGGGTCGGCTCGACCGGAGTGACGCCACGGCCTCACAGAAAACCGGCCTGAAACAACCACAGCCGCAGCGTTGTGTTTCACCGTGTGAGTGAGGTTACCGGAGGCCCAATCGTTCCCCTCCCCCAATCCCTCGTCAATCCCTAAATCTCATAATCCCTAATCCCTAAAAGATCGGCAACCCACTCGTAACTACTTCGTTGCGTGTGTCCATGGGCTGATTGCTTACCATCAGGTAATCCGTCTGCTGCACATAAAAAAAAAACAATGCAGGTGTAGCTACGTTTGCTAGATGATAAAAATCTTACGTCTGCGTTTGATCAAGAAATGTATGTAAACATTTGCTCCTTGGTGTACTTGACCCATCTTGCTAGACGAAAGATAATGTTGTGAACATCACATCATCAGCCTATCAGTGCCCACTACAGAGCAAGTGCCTCTTCTCAAACAGAGAAGTTTTGGGCATTAATCGAATAATAAGATAAGTCCAGATTTCCTCAAGATGGTTCTAAATAATAATAGAAAGTACATATAACTCGGAAAAGGCCAGTTTGATACTTTTCAGATTCTGGATTTAAACAGCGATAAATAAATGGTTTCCTTTTAATATCAAAAGTTGCAACCGACCATTTGACTAAAGCTGCAGTACTCAAACTTCCCCAAACGACATAGTTATGTGCTCTTAATCCAGGACCGGTGTTCTCAGAAGCATTTGAGAATTTTGAGGATTTCGAGGAAGAAAGTGAATTTTAGGACTACAGGCGGCTATCAAAAGGATTGAAGAGGGTATCTAATAGCGTAGAAATAGCTGAACTTGTAACGTTACAAAGCTTAGGCTATAACAGGTACAGTTTCAGTCAGTGACAATGGGCTACTCTAGGAATGAAACATGTGTTAAGTAAGCCTCTTTGCAAACAGTGTTGTATCGTAAGCGTATTGTTTCAATGACGTCACACTGTGAATTTCTATAGCATTGTCTTTCAAGCTGTGAGCGAGTGATCCTTTAACTCTCGTGCAACGTCCACTGTCGCAGAGATTGCAATACGCATCGTAATGTGAGCTCACATTTTATTTAATTGCTTTTTTTTTAATTTCAGATTCTTTTATCTCTTCATTATTATTGAATGTAGTTTTACAACTTCTATTATTAATCATAGATTTGCTGAAAACATAATTAAATCGATATATATGATTTTAGGTATATATATATGTATATTTTGTGAATAATATATAATATAATATATATAAAAAACAAGTCTTGTTGCGTGCGGGAATCGTATCCGCGATATGTTGCTAAGCAGCTTGAAGTCCAGCCACTGTGCCAACAAATACGGTAAATCTACTTAACCGATTTGAAAAATTCTTACACTAATGAAAAGTTACGCTATCCTCGGTAAACATAGTTTGTAAACAACGACTAGGAACTGCGAAACACAGCTAGTATTTTAAAAATAAAATTTTGATAAGAATTTTCTTACAGTTCCAGCTTAGATATTATTTTTTTGTATCGCCTGTTATTAAAATATTTAATTTCTCTTTTTTACACATTTTTCTGATATAAATGTTTAATCACTCCAATTGAGCCAGCTCATTCGTGCCGAAGCATGGTTATCGCACGTTGAAAAGTAACTAATTTAGATAGTTTTTTTTTTTTTTGTGATGGGAAAATCATCAAATGACTTCTCCCGCCCAGGGCCGGGCAGGAGGGAGTGTCAGACTCTTACTGACTAAAAACCCCCCTGTTCCTTCTCCTGCTCTGTGCCGAGGTCGCCGTACCTCATTGCGCTTACCCAGCAACCCCGGCTGAACATCAGCCCTTTAGGGCCCCATCTGTGGTGGTCGAATGGCTCTTTGAGGCGCGCGCGGAACGCTACGCGCCGTACGCTCGGGCCTGGTTCTGGTCGGGCGGCGAGCTGCCCTTACTCGCCGACCGCAGGCTTGTGCTTACGGTGGCCGGAGATCGTCCCTCGATCCCCGACGCCCGTAGTGTCGCCAGTTGCGGCTGCTGGGGCGTGAGGAGGAGGATTGCTCCCTCACGCGGGCCGCCTCTCTCTTTACGAGCATGACTGCTTCACAAAAGGAGGAGACGGCGTCCCAGTTCCTCTCACTCTGCACCATGGCCTCGACTAAGGCCGGGCGCGAGAGGTCGCCGCCGCCGATCACTTCCCTGAGGATACGGCGGTGCTCAGCCCAGGCAGGGCATACCGCTACCGTATGCTCCACCGTATCCTCTAGGTGGTCCTCACAATGACGACACTCGGGCGTTTCCTCCCGCTGAATCTAATTTAGATAGTTGGATGTGTCATATTCTATTTAAAGATATCAGCAATAAAATAAATCAAATAAAATAAATCCCACTGTTCTAACTTACACCCGTAATTCTCAATACAACTATGAACAGAACACACAAAAAATAAACAAAGTTACACAGTTCACTCCTTCGGAATACAAACTTTAGAAATACCAACACACATTCGTGCTCGTAGATTCAAATTGCAATGTGCTTACTCCGACTATGTACCTCAGAGGTATTTCCCTTGTTTCCGACTTACTGAAGTTCCTTGCTTTGTGTAAGTGAAACCAAGCGATTCAACTTGCAATGATTGAGCGATTGTTATAGACGAGTTTGTGATAATTATTCTGTTTGTGTAGACAGGTTCATACGATATTTTACTTTATTTCTAATATATTATAGTTATATAATAAGGTTAGCGCAGTCCTAGCCCCGGCTTCAGTCGAGGCCATGGGAAGCCAACTGGGAAGCTGTGTCCTCTTTTTGTGAAGCAGTTATGCTCGCAAAGAAGAAGGCGCACCAGGTATAGGAGCTATCCGCTTTCTCACGCTCCAGCTACCGCAGTAGGCAACCCTCCGGGCATCGCTTTATTTTTTACTACCTCACAAAAAAAAAAGTTTAGCACAGTGACTGTGCAGTCAGCGGCTGTAAAACTTGGTGTGATCGACAAAATGTGGTTCCGGGTCTTTTTTATAGTTGAAACGGGCGTCCAAAAACGTCTGTCGCTCCGGGTGCCGGTGGCATGTGAAGCAGTGATTGACTCTTACTGACTAAATCTTAACCCGTTTGTTCATCATCTCCAAACCGGGTCGCAATATGTCATCGCGCTTGTACCTGCAACCTCGGATGGATATCAGGTGGGTCCTGTCTGAAGTAGATTGATGGCCATTTGTACCATACGTTGTTTTCTTTTTATATATACATGCTGAATGATGCTATGTTATGTAGTGATAGCCGACTACAATACATTCGCCACTCTTTCGTATCGAAACAGTCGACTAACGGATTTAGTTTAACGGACAAGAGGAGTTTCAAAGTTCTCTGAAAAACTGCGATTCATTTATGTTAGTTTTTTATAATTTCTTTTTGTTAATGAGATAGGTCGACAGATGAGCAGATCGTTTAACTGATGGTAAGCAATCGGCGCCGCCCATGGACACCCGCAACACCAAAGAAGTTACAAGTGCGTTGCCGGCCTTTTGGGTTAGGGTTTCGGATATTTAACTACTTACTTTACTATTTGGGTGATAAATTAAACTTTGTGGAAGCCGTTGAAGGTTGAGATTTTCAACTTTTCTTTTTTTTTAATGAACCTTAAGAATGATCTGGTTTTCTTTTAAAAAGTGAGCGAGTCCATGAACTAAAATTGAAACACCAAAAACATAACTAGTCTCAAAGTCCGACAAATTATT